TTCAGTTCTAAAATTTACAACCTGCTACTTGTCTACATACTACGAAAGCATCATACTTGCGCCATTTAAATTTTTTGAGTAAAAGTTGCCATAACAGTAGCTTCAGCAGCATTCATGCTCAATAAAGTAATGCCTAAGCGATATGAAAGGTTTTAATAGTCAAACAAGACTGTCGCCAAATAATTAAGTAATACAAAAGCATGAAATTCTTGACCACCGAGATTACAAGTTTGACGTTTTCCCATAGAAATTGGGATATAGAATCAAAATGTACCCGACGTTGGATTAGCAAATCGGTAGTCTATGTGAGTGTTAATCTTTTGCTTGCCAAAACAGCTCAGAAAATTCATAATGGAGAGTAAGGGGAAATTTGTTAGAGATCGATATTGATATCCCCACAAGACGAGAATTAGTAAACGTGGACTCTTTCGAAATAGAAAAATATAGACCGACAAGTTTCGCACTATATTCAATTGTAACGCTTGAGTAATCCGCGAAAGTGAACGTATTTTAAACATCTAGCAAATAATCAAAGCATAACGTTATATAATCCGAGACATTTAATTACTGTTCCGACAATTTATCTTCCAATATATGTGAACTGAATTAAAAATTTAATTGGCCGGGAAAGTTAGTTTGATGTGAACTTTCAACTGCTCCCAATATAAATTACCCAATTACCTACTTGTGCTGGTGGAGATTTTTTATTGATTTTTTATAAATATAGTGAGCCATCTCGAGCGATTGATTTTGTACATGCTTTTACTTATTCTATGCATTTCCTCATACTGGTTACATCAATAAGTTACACATTTGATAGACGGTATGCGCCTGCAGCTTGCATAAGAGAATATACAAAGTTCACACTCTTTAAACTCTCACCATAAGTCATGCACTTGCGAAATTTCGTCATGACTCGTGAGAGTTTTTGTTGTTTAAAACTAGATCACTCTAAAAGAATGCAGATGATAGTTATAAAAATACCACTGAAATGGACGTGCATGTGGATTACTACAGAATATCAGAGATGAATCACAAAATGCAAAAAAAATTGTCTCTCCCATATCCCACCTCTTCCCAATCTGGAATTTTTAATAGTTGCAAAATGACGGATGGAATAGACAATGTGTTTAAATTTTCACCGTGAAATATGTTAGAAATACTAAAATCTTTCCCAAGTTCAGATAATGAACCACTTCAAATGATGAGAAGTTGTCACAGTGGTAAGGGATAACGAGTAAACAATTCGCTCCTACTCAAAATTAAAGTGTTCGCGTGTTTTCAAAAAAATTACTTTCATTAAACGAACAGTTTGGTGTCGCTTTCAATGCGATGGCCAAAGACAAAAGTTATGGGAAAAATGTGTGGAGACTTATTTCTTTTTCGGCCTAAGGGCTATGGCAGTTTTGCTGCTCATACCTCCCCCCCCCCCCAAGTCATGGAATAGTCCAATCCAACTTACTTTTAAAATATTAAGAATGTGTTTATCTACAGTCCAGTATAATCATTCGTATTATTTTCGGGAATGCTGTTTAAAAGGAATACATACCCTGACCTGATATATACTTACTTATATAGGTACTAACGTCACATTTTTGATGATAGGGGTGCCGACGAATGGTAGGAATTCACCACGTTATTGAGAGTAAGAAGAGCTACACCGATACAGATTCTGCGTATAGCAACGAAACGATCATGAAATTGTTTAAAAGCTTTTAGGTAGACAATTGTGTAACTAGTGTAGCCAGTGAAGAGGAAATGAAACAGTTCATACAAGAATCAAAGACTCTCATGAAAGAAAGAAATTTTGATCTGAGAGGGTGGGTTGATACTACAGAAAACATGGCAAAAAAAGCTTGGTTGGGATGCACCACTATATTCTGAGACTGAAAGTGATTTTCGCAGCTAGGTACAAGATCTCCCATGTTTGTCGTCTATAAGAATCCCACGATTGATTCATGCTGGAGTTGGCGAAGCGACCCACCCCAGTTTACCCACCCTCTGTGACAACGAGAGCAGCTTCTTCCTGGAGCTGATGGATAGGTCCGTTTAGTGAGAGTACAAACGGGCAAAGAGCCGTAACTTCGTCATATTCAATGAATTCCTCCTTTGGAGGTGGAGAAGGTTGGTGATGTACAACCGGATGGTGAGGCACAGAAGGAACAGGGTGCGGAGAAAGTGTGTGAAAATACGTCGGAAGGTAGTGAAAATGCAGGAGTGTCCGTTGTGAGTCGCGAACCTCGAAAAGACATGGTGCTTTGTAGATTTTTGATATTTGTAGTCTAGAGAAGTGTGTTATGTCTTCACAACAACGTAATTATGGGAATTTTAGTTGATAGCAGTCTCTGGAGAATTTGTTTTAGGGTTGTCAAGCAGTTTATTTTTTCGATTATGTACCAATAGTGCAATAATAAAAGCATTGGTGATCTTCAAGTTTGATATCGCGACCATCAATTGCTCCGGACTTGGTGGCTATGCTCAAGACGGGTTGTCTTTTACGTGGTCACAATCCTACTTTAATGAAAGAGACCAATGAAAGGAATTAATTTCTATTTCTACAAACCATATTCCTCCTCCTTCTCGACACCTTATCGTGATAGGTTATAATTCCCGATATCTCAAGAACAGATTGTCGAAGGAGGGTACTCACAAAGAGCGATTAGGCCGTCTGGAAGAAATATATTCATAGGTGATGCCAAAATTTTAAAGGCGAACATCTCGAAAACGGTTTATCGGAGGACAAAGTGAAAATGAACCGTCTGAACGACACATATACAGGGTGACAATTTGAAAACTTACCACCCCCCATATCTTAGTAAATAAACGAGATATTTAAAAAAATCAAAATCCGTTTCGGTAATTCGGAGGGGAATCACAATGACATAGTTGGCGACGCACCCCCTCCAACCCCCTGCGCCCCAGCCACCCCAACTTTTAAATCTTAAATAGTGACCCCCCATGTGTGATACGTCGTTGGAAAGCTCTGAAAAAATGCTTTCCAACCATACCAAATAGCCTCGCAAATAGCATTACATTTAGGTTAGTAATTATCGCGCAAATCAAAAAATAAACATGGAAAATCGTATTTAACTTGAACCTCCAAAGCCGACTCGACAGCAACTCATTTTTGATCGCCAGTTATAATCTATTCTCAAACTCCTGTCGAACCTTTTCAAATGTTGGTTTTGCAATATTTCGACATTCTTGAATTATTCTCTGTCTTAGTTCGTCTATGTTCGCCGGTTGCGTTTTAAATACGACAGATTTCAAATGTATCATATTAGTTTATTTTTTGATTTGCACGATAATTACTAACCTAAAAGTAATGCTATTTGGTATGGTTGGAAAGCATTTTTTCAGAGCTTTCCAACGACGTATCACACATGGGGGGTCACTATTTAAGATTTAAAAGTTGGGGTGGCTGGGGTGCAGGGGGTTGGAGGGGGTGCGTCGCCAACTATGTCATTGTGATTCCCCCTCCGAATTACCGAAACGGATTTTGATTTTTTTTAATATCTCGTTTATTTACTAAGATATGGGGGGTGGTAAGTTTTCAAATTGTCACCCTGTATATTGATGAAGTCAAAGCGAATATCTTGAAAACGAAGTGTGGGAATAGAGTACTCAAAGGGCAAGTGAAACATATGGACGAAGCATCTACTGGTGTTGTCAAAACTTATAAAAGACTTATCTTCAGAACGGAGTGTCGAAGGAGGGTACTCACAAGGGCGGAAATATCTAGTAATTGCGACTTTTTTTATACCCAGACGAAACCAAACGGTGTCACCTGAATGTCAAATAAATGTTATTACTACTATTATTACTAAGCAGCTCAACTGCAAGTCATTACAACACTAGAAACAGCGTATTTTAAAAAACCAATACCTTTTTTAAGCCGCAGAGCAAAGCGATGCAAGCTTTATAGGGGAGTCGATGGTGTACGTCTGTCTGTCTGTCCGTGAACACGAGAACTGGTAACCGCTTGGGCCGATTCGGTTCAAACTTTGCACAACATGTAAGAAGCCTATTAAAAATGGGTCAAATCAAATGACCCCGTAGAGTCACATCAAAGTGCTCTGCTCCTTTTTTTCATCGGCTCTAGGGGTTTATTATCATTAAAGGTGAACTGAAACTGAAAGAGAATAAAAATTTTTGAAAAAATTCCATGTAGCACACACATTTAATACTTTTAGTATTTTTACTTTAATAATTTTACTGGTTAATTTCCAGCACAATCGGAAACCTCATGAAATTGAAAATATGTTTGGTGAAACCACAAATAGTTTCCCATACCATCACTTCATTGGACAATCAATACCAGCGATCGAAACTACATGGATTGGAAAAAGGATCATCAATATCTGTTGGTAACACTAAGGATGCCTGGATATTGCGTTGTATTGTTTTTGTATAGTATTTTACATTTCTTTGCTTCCTATAATTTTCACTTTAGATATCGTGATGCTGGAATTTCTCTTTTATTTTAGAAAAGTGAGCGAGTAGGTACTTATAAAAATAAACCTGTAAATGTACTACCATATAAGTCTATACATCATGTTCCAAGGTATTTCGCATTTATAATTATATTTATAATAAAGAATTACTTAGTTTGTCGATGGCTGATCGGAAATGCAGCTGGGCAATTGCAAAGTGAAAGGTTTGGATAAGCAAAATTAATTGGGTACCGGTAAAATCCACGCACAATGCGAGTATCAGAATTTTGACTGAACCTTTAGGAGCAGTTTTTTATCTGAAGATCATCAATTAACTAAGTGGCTTTTTAATGGAACCAAAAGGTAGCTTTCGAACATGTATGGAATTAGCTAACCTTCAATCGCCAGATCTTGGATATGACAACTTTCACCTTCCACCTGTTAATTAATTCAAGGATCTTGAACTCTTACAAATAACCAAATTTTAATAGTAAATAGTAGTATAGTAGTATTTTGCAATAACTTCAAAGTTTAAGTGCGGAGATCATAAGAAAAAAAAATAAAATATTGACCTGCATGCGTTTATATAAATTCATTTAATATCACTTTATAAAGCCAACAAAAAACAGGCAACTGAAAGCAATTATTTACACGTTTAACATCACCAAGTTCAAAAACTCTTCTAATTAGAATTTTTCTAAACTGATGGGAGTCGTAAAGAACTTAATTTCAAGATCACGATGGCCATTAAGTGAGGTCACAATTTCGGTCGATACTTCAAGGTCCCTCGAGGATCGTAAAGGAAAAGTGTTACTTTCAATTTGATCTTCCTTTAAATAAAGACCACGATCACTTATGTTTACAGATTTTGATAAATCAAAGTGGTTAGTCGAAGTCTCCTGAATATCAGGAAAATTAAAATCACTTTGGTGTATGGGAGTGGTTAAAAATGGGGAATAACAATGGCGCTGTACGTCCCAAATTTGTCCCGCTGGATCACAATATCGGCACTGACACAAACTCGCCTGTTGATTTTCGTTTAGGTCTTTTGATAGCTCCTCCACGTCTTCAAACTTATGATGCAACTTTGGAGTTTCCTGGATCTCTGTGTGGTGATTTCTTCTGGATATGTTGTCGGGCAATGGATCTCCGGTTGAGACATGAAGACGACTGAAGATGAAGGGCAGGTGGGAGCCGATAATTTCGTTTTCGGTGGTGTTAATTTCTGGACTCCCGCTGTCTGTTGAAAAGCAATCTTCAGTTTCCAAAGGGCATATTAAATGGCTGGGTTTTCTGTCTTTTTTCCGCCGTTTGCGTGGTTTAATAATCCTGGGTAAACTATTTTCGGAATTTGTTGACGCCGAACTCTCATCACTATTAACACTAACTGCATCCACACCTCTATTATCCTTAGGTTTAAAATTGGCACTAGGTCCACGTGTTTTCACATAGTTTTTATCGGCGCTCGATTTATTCTTGCGCTGATTGTGTTTGTTGTTTAAAATTAAGGGAGCGCCTTGTGTGTGAACGGCAAGGTGTGATAGTGGATAGTTCTCTTGAAACCTCACAAACTGTCCACGTCGCTGGTAATTGGCGAACGAAATTAAAGGTATGCCACCTGCCCATCCATCGATCGATCTACATCTTTGCGACTGATGGGTGTTGAATCGAGGCACGAAATCTTCTCTGTGATGGAATTGGTCACGCACGTGCTTGGTCGAATTTCCTTTTGAACGGCTTTGTGAAGAAATAAGGTAAGCGCCGATATACCGCTCGACCTCTAGAGCACCCGATGAAGCGGGGCTCATGTTTAACGATAGTAAGACGACATCGCATGCCGACCGTAGGTACCAACGCGATTGCCGGAAAGTCTACAACTGCAGCCGTAAAATTACTGATGGTACCGACTACCGAGAACGTTCGAATGAACAGGAACCCCACTGCTGCTCGTACTAACCTACTTCTTACGCGAGCCGAGACTAAACAAAGAGAGCGTACAGAGAGATCCACCCACACAACTGGGTCACAAGTTTAAATTGTGGGTCGTCGGAGAAATGCACCCCGTCGCAACGGGAGATAATCTCATCGTTATGGCCGCAATATCTGACCTAATTAGTTAGTGGGTTGGGGGGTCAGAATTGATGCTTCTTCACACTTACCTTTCCTTTAGTCCCCCTTTAACATGCCTTACAGATATTTAATAATAATTATTATTGTTTATTGAAATGGCTTTAATAATTGCAAAAAAAAAAAGATTTACGAGCTGCAACTGCATGGCATTAATGTCAAACTTGTCACCAGTTAGAAATAAAAACGGATGTAGCAAATTGATTATGTACAGCTATAAGAGCCGTTTTATATTAACAAAACGGTTTTAGAAGTAGTAGCCCATATTCCATAATATATTCAAGCACGAAACCTAAACCTGTTCCATTTTTTAAATCACGCAATAAAACGAAATCAATATCGACAAAAACGTTTAACTTTTTACCATTCAATTTATATTGAAAAAGGCTCAACGAAATTTAAATTTCGTAAACCTGCAGTTTCAAAGTATAACAATTTTGCATGATGATTGAGGACAGTAATTTTCAATGTGAAAATGAAAAAATTTATAGGATACATAACTGTTTGCATTATACAATTTTTTCTTTACCTCAGAAGTGGTTTTATACAGTCATTAGCGATTTCCGTACATACAATGGTCGAAATCTTTCTACTACCATCCTAATATATTTAAGAAGCGAGCCGCTTTCATGGTGCAATATTTCTCATACAAGATTTCAAAGATGTTTTGTTGTGGGCTTTTATGCAAAACAAATCACTTCGTGTTTCTTATTCGTTTTTTAAAAAACCCCACAAGAAAATGAGGTGATTTTTGGTGTGTTTTGTGTACATTTTTGAGTGTGAAAGCTTACGGTAAACGGTTATTGTTATTGACATTACAAACACTTTCACCTCAAATTCTAATATTTTTTCCATGTTTCATTTAGGCTTAATATACAGGGTCATTCTTGACGAGCGTCAGTTAGAAAGATATGGAAAACCTTTGAAAATGAAGATAAACTGATAAGTTCTTTAAGGGTTTTGGCACATGATGAATTGAACTAAAATATTTTCAAAATGGCACCACTTCCGGAAATACCGGAAGTAGCCATCAACTTTGTTATTTTAAATAGGGACCCCCTATTTTTTCTACATTTTCGGATTCTACGTCGAATTTGGAGTACAACGATACCCCATAGTTGACCCTTTGCTCCAAGGGCTTCGCCGATATTCAAGTTTTTGTGTCAAAAATTGAATTTGCAGGGGTAATTTTAAAAATTTATTATTCGAAAACGGTGAGAGATATTGCAAAACAGTTTTCAATGCTTTATTAAGGAAAGATCGAATTTTCTTATAGTATGCGTAACAGTCTAAAAAAGTGAGACTACGTAACTTTTTCAAAGCTCTCAACTTTTAAACTTTTAAATATCCGTAATTCTATTTTTTCAAATGGCACCCCCCATTTTGTTCTTCACCCTTGTTTTCCTTTTTCCCAGACCTTTAATTTGATGCAAAATGTCAAAAGCTGCTTCAAACGGTTTCCGAGATATTCCATGTTTTAGTTACTTCTTGTGGAAAATTGATAAAAAAATTAAGTCGCTTGATGTTATTCTTTTGTTTTTATTATGATAATGTTTAAACGTCAAATTTTTCGCTGTTTGAACTTATACTTCTGGTCAATAATGGCTCGTTTGGGTTACACTAATGAAGATTTTGTGAATTTAATATTAATAGATGGTGATTGTAATCGAATAGCTGCCAGGACTTGTCGTCTTTTTTCCGAAAGATAGCCTGACAAGGCGCAACCCACATAGGCTACAATTCGCAAATTACTACAAAATTTCAGGAATAACGGTACCGTTATACTCCAAATTCGACGTAGAATCCGAAAAATTAAAAAAATAGGAGGTCCCTATTTAGAATAACAAAATTGATGGCTACTTCCGGCATTTGCGGAAGTGGCGCCATTCTTTGTGCACTCGTGTCTGATATGTCAATTTCTCTTTGGATATCATTAAGCGATGCAGTTGGATTTGCAGCAAAATACACCAGTACAGTTATTTCCTGTTCTTCAGAGTCTACCACAGGCTTCCTTTTTTTGTATTTTTGTTTGAAAGATACCGTTATTCGTGAAATGTTGTAGTAATTTGCGAATTGCGAATAAAAACAAAAGAATAACATCAAGCGACTTAATTTTTTTATCAATTTTCCACAAGAAGCAACTAAAACATGGAATATCTCGGAAACCGTTTGAAGCAGCTTTTGACATTTTGCATCAAATTAAAGGTCTGGGAAAAAGGAAAACAAGGGTGAAGAACAAAATGGGGGTGCCATTTGAAAAAATGGAGTTACGGATATTTAAAAGTTTAAAAGTTGAGAGCTTTGAAAAAGTGACGTAGTCTCACTTTTTTAGACTGTTACGCATACCATAAGAAAATTCGATCTTTCCTTAATAAAGCATTGAAAACTGTTTTGCAATATCTCTCACCGTTTTCGAATAATAAATTTTTAAAATTACCCCTGCAAATTCAATTTTTGACACAAAAACTTGAATATCGGCGAAGCCCTTGGAGCAAAGGGTCAACTATGGGGTATCGTTGTACTCCAAATTCGACGTAGAATCCGAAAATGTAGAAAAAATAGGGGGTCCCTATTTAAAATAACAAAGTTGATGGCTACTTCCGGTATTTCCGGAAGTGGTGCCATTTTGAAAATATTTTAGTTCAATTCATCATGTGCCAAAACCCTTAAAGGACTTATCAGTTTAGCTTAATTTTCAAAGGTTTTCCATATCTTTCTAACTGACGCTCGTCAAGAATGACCCTGTATAACAAATAAGTTTAACTGAAATATGAAAGATCGGACCTTACTAGTATCTTAAACCTCGTTAATTTTACACGTAAAAATCCAGAAGAACGAATTTCCTCAAAACCCGTGACTGAGTGGGACGGGTTAAATTAGAAAATAATGAAGATCACCAATTCGAGTAAAATCTTTTATGTAAAACGTAAGATAAACAAGGAATTAAAACTTCGAAGACACAATCTTTGTGGATACCCGAGAGTCCATTCACGTGTAGACCCTACCAATATCTTCGTGAATACCCACTTGTAATTCTCCGATCTTGAAATATTCACATTGAAAGTTTTAACCCTAATCGCAGATACGACTGGGCTAGATGTTCAACTTTTCTTTAATGATTGTCCTCTTCCGACAATCCGTGTCCGGTGGCGGGAAGAGGGTGAAAATGATTATGAAAATCCGTTTCTTTGGTTAAGACTTTTCAATGCAGAAGCATATTAACACCTCCTGCCCCTGTCGGACACTTGTCGAACCCCTCGCACTAGAGCGTAGGATAGGAAAATGTGACCGATTATATATACCTAGGATGTCCGAAAAGTATGGAGTATAGTACATATATCTATAAATATCCCTTTTATCGAAAAATGTTTGAAATAAGAGCTATTTGGTATTTCATTTTTATCACATGAAATTTTTTGTTTTTAAAATTTTTTTAAAACAAAAGCGCAACAGATAAAAAAATGTTTTAATGACAAGATCTGTATTTTGCTAACTTATTTGATAGGGTCTTATTCTCGTTTCAAAAATGTAAAATGATAATACCCTTCCATTGTAAAAATTTTGAGAAAACCGAAAAAAACTGCGCATAGGTGTATTTCAACAACGTTCAAGAATTTAATTAATCTAGTGGCCCATGACCGTTTTATGCTCATCTAGATATCGAAACCAGTGAACAATTTCAATACGCTGCCTTTCGGATAAATAATCAATTTCTGTTTACTTCAAAAGCGTATTTCACTCGTAAATGGATGGCAACCAATGTAAATTACTAACATTTTACTTCCAAGTGCACGTACTATACCTTGACAGTTCTAAGGAGCAATCTATTGTTTCAATATCTAAATCCGCATAAAACGGTCATGCGTGACTACATTGAACGTTGTTCAAATACTTGATCAAAAAAAGTTGACAAGAGATCTTGTGATTAAAAACAATTGTTTTCGTGTTTTTTCCGGTATCCAGAGGCGTAGGTAATGGGGGGGGGGGGGGGGGGCAACAGTCGAGCCGAGATTATTCGATTGAGTGCAATCTCCATCCAAGAGAGAGGGGGAGCGGGGTGAGAGAGAAGGAAATTACAACAAAACGGTAAATTAAATCTGTGTCCTTTGTAAGACGGCGTTTAAAAAAGATGATAACGATAACGCCCATTGTATAATCTCCAATACAGACGCCATATTGCAGTCACTGTCCTATAGCTAGCCAGACTTAACAAAAATATCTTCTGAAAGTGGATATGTGCGTACAATTTTTAATAGGGCACGTAGTTTCACTTTGAATTTAAAGTATATATCTAATTAAAATTCCCATAGTGAACAAAACAACCGTAGCCTTTCACAAGGTCCCAGAGCTTAGATCTCAACCTTCAATTAGACGAAATTCATGTTTTTTCATCAAATGTTCTAATACTAGGATCTACTGTCAACATTTCAACAAAATTGCTCGACAAACATAAAAATCTGAGTCTTCAATTCAATTCAATTTTTTACATTTTATTTTTTTCTTATAAGATCCCAATCCCAAACGATGAAGATCCTTACACAAATAAGACGGTTGATTTCATACTTATAATAATTGTTTCTATGAAAAATACGCCAAAGAGTACGCAATGGAAACGAAACATACTGGGGGGGGGGGGGGGGGGGGAACAAAAATTAATTTTATCTCCCATTGTATTCTAATTAAACGTCTCAACGAAAGGGACCTTTCAGTGCGATTCAAACTTAAGGTTCAGTATGTACATCATAGAGCAATGTTATTCTTATGGACGTAAATTACACAGCGTTGTCACAATTCCTTTACCTGCTTCTAATGTTGAAGTTACATAACTTTTAACAAAATTGTT